GGGGTGTGTGTGTGTTATTAATTTATTTTTCCCCTCTTGAGCCCGGGAAGGGTAAATTTACTTGAAATGCTTTCTCAGATCTTAAAGATGTCACGAGTGGGCTCCTTGTGCTGCTTTTGGGCAGCACTGGAAAGTTGCTGGTTTCTGTTTTTGTAATTGTATGGCCTTGGCAATATATAACGCGGGATGTTACTTTGTGTTTACTGTAAATATTTTCAAATAATCAGGTAAAAATAAGCAGAAAAATCGCATTTCTGTAAAAGTGAGGTAGTAACTTTTCAGCCTCTAGAAACTTTGATTCACTCCTCCACCCTCCAGAAAAGTCGAGGAAAACCTGGGCGTGTGCGCCCATTTGTAAGCTTGGCGTTAAAAGGATTTTTTTGCGTAGTCTGTAGTGGCCAGAGCAACTTGTCTTAGAGGACTGTCCCAAAGACGAGGGAGATTCTGGAAATACAGTCCAGTAAAAACTACTTTGAGTGACTCGGTGTAGTGCGTCCTGGAGACTAAGACAGACTTGTGCTGCAGTTTGCCAGGGATACGAAGGCTTGACCTACCCGATTGCTTAGATAGTACAAAATTCACATTTTAGTGTATTTTCTAAGTTGACAGATTGTCTCCTTCATCTAGATCTAGGAAGGCAATTTAAGGGATTGGGGTCCTTTTGCACTCTGTTGCCAGTATTGAAGTCTTTCCTTGCTACATCTAGCTGGGCAGAGATATTTGAGCTCCGTGTGCCTTCTGTGAGAGAGACACCGTCCCTCTTTTAAAACATATGTGGCCATTCTTAAGCGAAAGGGGAATAACAGGCTGGATAGTAAAAGTGGCTCTGACTGTTAATGGGTGAAGATGTAGAATGACGGCTGCTTTATTCCTGATGAGAGAGTTTTCCGAGAGGAGATGGGTGCAAAGTACACAAACCTACCAGAACAATGTTTCTATTTTTTATGTGTGTAATTTTTGTTAGAGGTGTGTCGAGCAAGGTTTTGATAGCTTGTTGCCCTTACAGATTTTTATGAATGTAGCTGATTCTCAGCAGCAGAATGCTCTTCTGTTTTTCTTCATTTTGACATAGCCCGTTTAAGGCCTCTAAATAATCAGTTGGCTGGCAGTGTTTACTTCTAGCGAGTATTATCTCCCTATATTTTACGTTTAGTTGTTTCGTGTGTCAAAGTGTAAATATATATTGTCCTGCTTAAGAGGCTGTTTGTATTGACTGTGTGAAGTGTTGGTATCCGCCGGGCTATCAGCACGAGCAGGAAAAATATATGAGAGGGTTTCCTCCTACCGAAATATTAAGCTTCGACTGTTGAAGTGAAATGTGCTGCGTTCGTGTTACATACCCGCAGGCACAGACACGCGTGTGCGTGTGCCTGTCCGGATGGTTTTTGGGGAGAAGTTAGGCGCCTGGTTCAGCTCACTGCAGAAAACTACTGATCTCGAAGATAGCTCATAGCACGTTGAAAATGTGTTAACTTTGGGCAATAAATAATCCGCGTTTAGGGTTTGCTTCGACAAAACAGGTTTCACGGTTGAATTTAATCCCTCTCCATTTAGGAAGGGGCTACGCCTGTGTGAAATAAACGTGTTAATGTCTTGAAAGGTTTGTCCCGGTCTGTCAGGGCTGGGAAGGAATTCTCGGTCAGCCGGCTTGCGTGACCTCGGTCACTGCTGGGTTTTCTTGGTTCAGATTTTTATGAATTATAAGGTAGTGACTTGAACAAATAAAACACAGAACCGTGAAGGCAGCCTGTCCATGTTTGAGTACCTAGAGGGACCTCAGAGCCTCCGGCTTCAGAGCGCTGGACTCTTCTGAGAGCAGTGCAGGAGCCCGAGCTCTGCCTTTTCTGGACAGAGCAAACCCTCGGTGTCAGTTTAAAACTAAGGAGGGTCAGGGACCCTGGAAGCGACATTTAAACGGCAGTTCAATGTAGCGGGGGTCTTGCTTTCCCGTAGGGGAGCTGAGGAACAGCTCTGAGGACCTGGTCTGGCTGGGTGCTTCTTGCACTTTGCTTTTCTGTGTGCTGGTCAGCTGTGGTTTGATTCTGGGGAGTTTTATCTGCCCAGAACCCTCAAGGTTTCTCCTGCAGCAGCAAGAGAATGTTCCCTCAAGGTTTCTCCTGCAGCAGCAAGAGAAGTTTCCTGGGTAGGGTCGGTCGTTGGCGCTCTGCACTGCTTGAGGAATATTGTACCCCTGTCCTGGGCAGTTTGACCAAAATTCAAGGCTTTTGGAAAGCTTGGTGTGTTGTAATTTTTTGGTCTTCTTTTTTCTTTTCTTCGCTGCCTAACAGCGAAGTGTGTGAGTGACTGAGGAGAACCTCGCACCTTGAGGTTTCTCCAGCTCGCACGGTGCTGCAGAGAGAGGTGGCTTGCAAGCTTTGCTTCGGGAAGAGTGGGGACCAAGGATGTGAGCTGGTGTGCTGGGAGCACTGTCATGGGAAAATGAACAACTTGCATTGCAACAACGTTGTTATGTTACATTTTGCAGGATCTGGTTGACAGAAAATAATTTGCTTTGTAGTTGATGTGGCTGACAGGGTTTTTGTCCCGGTATGCTTTCCCCTTTACCTCTTGTTCCCTCTAATTTAAAATACTATGTGCGTGTCTAACGCTGGTGCCAGTGCATCCGATGGGGGGGTTATGGGTTTCAGACTGTGAAAATGACATTTGTTTTTCACTCTTGTCACTGCGTTGTGTTGACAAGGTGTTGATTTAGCTTTAGGAATGATATGGTCACATGGTCCTTCGCATGTTGTCACTAATGTACCGTTTAAAGTCGGTTTGGGCTTTTCCCCCCTCCCCATCGTCGGTGTGCTTTATTGCTGAAAAGGGGGTTTGTTTAAGAATCCACAGACTTGTTTTCTTCCGTCCAAATACCTTACTCTGGTGCTGCAAATCTCTTTCCACCTCTTGTAAAACTTTGCACCGTGCTCGCTTCATCCGCGGGAGCCTTTTCAGACGAGAGGCAAGGGGGGGGCGGGG